CCTGCTTCGGTAATTGAACAGTTTCACCTCTCACAGCAGTGGATGTGATATAGATTGTTCTGGACACATTTGTGCCTTTTATACTAAGCGTCACACAGATTTATTCAAAGTGGGTTTGTCATAATAATCCTTCAATAACACTAAAGTCGGCATCCCGCAGCAGCGTGCAGCGATATGAACAGAAGATGAAAGTGTTGTTCATCACAGAAGATCTCAAAAAGATCTAAAAAAAAAAAGGTTTACTTAGTTTACTTAAACTGGCGAATCTGTATCCTACCAGAATAAAAGCGCTGCTAGTGCTTTCTCGTTGAGGCACAAACTGTTTTTACAAGTCTTAGGGCGGTTTAGCTTCACACTGAACAAAATCAAACCCTTTCTACATCACTCGATTAATATCACAGCCTTTTTTCAGTCTTAAACAGTTGTGTGCTTGACTGGCAGCTGCTGACAATAGATTTAAGACTGTATATAAACTTACCAGCCACTTTATTAGGTATAACTTGCTAGTACTGGGTTGGACCCCCTATTTGCCTTCAGAACAATAGATTCAACAAGGTGCTGGAAACATTCCTCTGAGTTTTTAATCCATATTGACACGATAGCATCACACAGTTAGTTGTGTAGTTGTGCTCTCATGTGTATGTGTGGGTGGTCATATTTAGAAAGGTTTGTGGCTGTATTTTTTTAGATTTATACAAGAATTGTGTAAAATGAGAAAACTGGGTGTATACTGTGAAAATGCATTGGTTACGTTTGTTACTTTTCAGACTGAATCTACACTCACCAGACATTTTATTAGGTACACCTTGCTAGTAAAGGGTTGGGAGCCCTTTTACCTTCAGAGCTGTCTTAAGTCTTCATAACAGAAATTCAGCAAGACCCTTTAAAGACTTAATGTAACTAGAGCCAGTGATCCAGATCTTAGTTACTCTTTGGTCCTTGTGTGGTTTCATGAGTGTCCACAAACAACGGAAACAACATCCAAACAAAGTGGAGCTCAGAGCAAAGCTCAGGAGCCGAATATACATTTTCTCCATTCTGCTGCAGGTCACAATGGATCAGCTGTACACTGAACATTATGCAGCATGTTTGGGGTCCCTTTGTGCAGCCCCAGTGGCCTAATGGATAAGGCACTGGCCTCCTAAGCCAGGGATTGTGGGTTCGAGTCCCATCTGGGGTGATTTTCAGCGCAGTGGTGCAGTGGAAGCAATATGCAGTACAACCATAATACTGGTCTTGTTTTAGAGATATTGTAACATAAGAACTACACATCTCAGCTTACTTGGCATTATTCTTCAAGTTTTCTGGACTTACATAACCATAATTAGTTTCAGCCATAATAATCAAATAGTTTCTTGCTTTTGTTATTCGACAGCTTGTGTTTTGAATAGAAAAAACATGCAGGATTTTAATATGTTGTAAATCTACACAGGTATCCATGTTTTCTTTCTGTGTGTGTGTGAGCTGTTAGGTGGCAAAGTCTGAGGTTGTAATGGTTCTGTTGATGTGTGGGCTCAAGCTGGCAGAGGCAGGGTTATAAAGGTGTTTTTGGTCGATTGTTAAGGCCTTTGCCTTAATCCCTTAAGCCCTCGGCTATTTTCTGAAATTTCCACCTGGAAAACAAAAACCTCCCAAATTTAGTCAGTAACACGTCCACAGCTGTGAGGCCAAAATGAACAGCCCTGGGCTCTATTGATCAGAGGCACTTGTGAGAATTTAGAATTCAGTAAGTCGCCAGACGAGTAAAGTATACTTAGTGTACAACTTCCAAATGGTCAAG